AGTGTCCACACTGGCCTCTTGCGCAAGAGCTCCTACACAAGAGGGCTTATACCTGTTAAAAAAGAGCGTAGCTCTTGCACAAGAAGTCCTCTCTTACCACATTGTACTGTAAATTTCCTTGAACAAGAGCGGGCGGGCAATGTGGACGCTCTACGGATTCTTGCGCAAGAACAGCCAGACTTGCACAAGAAGCCGCGAGTGTAGACATAGCCTTGGTGCATCCATAGACAGGTAGAATGTATCATCTCTCTACAGAGAGGATTTTTATGACTGATGTTTTTGGGTGAACAAGCCCTTTGTGAGCTTTGTGAAAAGGTGAGATGTTTTGACTTCCAGTTTTTAGGGACTTGTCTTTGGGCTGCACATTGCCTAGAACCTGAAGGGAGTTAGCTGTGACAATGCATTTCTGAGTTATTCTGATACACGAAGTGAAATCTGTGCTAAAGACTCCCGCATCCATTGAGAGGAAATGCTGCTGTCCGAAGTCAATTCAGAGTCTCTCCAAATTTCTTCAAGGATCACCTCTACCAGGCAGTGGGCCTTTGATTGACTGGTCCTTTATATTTTTGAAGAGTGACTAAATGTTAACTGGATCTTCTTGGGTAATATCAACAGATTGCTTTGGGCCCAATCTTAGCTTAGTTTACATTTGATCAGGCCCTTTGTAAACAGGTTGGGAAGTTATTTGGCAATTATTATTAGGTATTATTTACATAATGTAGGCATTGCCATCATGAGATTAACATATACATTTCTCAGTAGCTTTACATATAAAATATCTCAGACCTAGTGATCTCCATGGGAAATGTACCTTTCAAGCAGTGGTGGGCAGGGTTAGTGACATGGTCTTCTCCACCTTGTAATTGTTATGGTTAGTTCAGTATTTTCATTACGGCTTGTGGAAATGGAGGACACTTGATACTTTTGTATTTCAAAAAATGCAGTTGCAGTACAGCTCATTAGGGATGTAAATTCCCATTCATCAGAACCTGTTCATGTTAGGTCACACAGGGGCTCCCAACCCCCTACATAGTAGCCCCTGTCCACAGAAAGCTGGACTACCCATGGAGAAAGGCTGCTCTGGATACTGGCACAGTCCCTGCCTGCAGGGCACTCAGGTTCCCCACAGACAGGGTCTGCTCCAGACAAGAGCAACCTATGTCTGCAGTGGTGCTGGAGCAGTGGGGTGCTCCAGCACCCTCTGATTAACAGTTAATTGGAACCGTTAAGCATCATCCGTTAAGAGAACTAAGAAAATTGTCCCATGAAATTGTGGGATAGTTCTGGATGATTCCCAGGCCCCGGACAAATGGGGCTGCATCTACACTGCAGAGTAATAGGCCTTCAGTCCTGGATCTCATCTTGAATCGAGGTTGGACCCCTAGTGCTGCAGTGTCATGGGACCCTTGGGTTGGAGCCTGGGTTAATGCAATTGTGGTATAGTTGCATAGGGGGGTCCTATAGTGCCCAAACCCATCCCCAATTGGGAGAAGAGGATGGGAGGAGTTCTTAGAGGGGTCATGTGACACCCTTAACTTCTGGTCATGTGTCCATTATATTCCTGGAAGTACTATCCCCATGGGTGGGACTTGGGGCCTAAAGGGTCAGAGATATGGCTAATGTGTCCCTCTTTGGTTCAGAAAATAAAGTCACCGTATTTAGGACGCAAAGTTTTCAGGCCCTTTGGCTGGCATGACATAAGCAAGAGAATAAACCAAAGACCTTGTGGGAAAAAATTTTCCCGAGCTTGGAGATTTAGCGGAAATAAGAATGGTTCTAGAGGAAGTCTGTAACAAGCGTTACGGTGTTAGAACTAGCTCCGTGTCTTCTGTTCATTTACATTTGTAATTTACTATGTTCTGCCTGGGTTCATTGCAACCACTTAAATCCTGCTGCTTGTACTTAGTAAAATCACGCTGATTTACTATTAAGCCTAGTGTAAATAAGTGTTACCTGGGGGAGCAATCAGTGTGTATATCATCCTTTCATTTTTAAAGGGGGCTTGCCTGAATGGTTTATTTGCAATTCTGATCCCATTTGGGAAGTGGGTTTCCTGGAAGCTGTGCCAGAAACTGCACTCTCCTCAGACCTGAAAAGGTTCAGTGTCTGCCTTGCTCTTCGGGGGTGGGGAGATGATTTCAGCTCTGTGCCTTGGTTGGGGGAGACAGCAGGACAGGGTGGTGAGAAGCCCAAAATGGGTGGGTCCTTCAGTAGAAAGTGTGGGTTTGGCGCTAGCTTCCTGCAGGCAGCCTACGCACCACCTTGACGATGCTGCGCCTACCAAAGGCAGCACTCAGTATTGCCAGAGTACACTGCCTGGGGCCCCAGCAGCAATTTAAAGGGCCTGGTGCTCTGGCTGTCCTTGCTGCACCAGCTGAGAGCCCTGGGCCCTTTTGAATCACCAGGCCTTGAGGCAACTGCCCCCTTTGTTTCCCCACCTTGCAATCAGCAGGCCTGGCAGTGTTAGCAGCACTGAGGTGCCCCGCTGTGGCTCTCGGCTGACTTCTGCGCCTCTCAGCTAGGCTGCTGCGCGGGAGCCCAAATGGCCACTTGCACCACTTGGTCCTGCACAGTGGCCCGGCTGAGCAGCGCAGAAGTTAGCCGAACACCATGGCGGGAGGCAACAGTGTCGCCCAGAAAGAACAGCCGGGGGTTGGGGCCCATCAGAGAGCGTGTGTCTCTGATGTTAAGAAAGGGCACCGGATTCAAAAGGAGGAAAGCGGAGAGGACATGGAGGAGATGGAGAGGAGAATGGTGAAGGACAGAAAAAGAGAGATGCAGCAGGAGGAGGAGAAGAGAAACACAGAGTGAGAGGCGGGAGGAAGAGAAGAAAAAGAGAGAGGGATGGAGAGAGAGGCCGTTTGCACTGCTTGCTCCCGCGTGGCAGCCCGGATGAGTGGGGCAGAACTCAGCTGAGTCCCACAGCGGAAGGCAAAGGCGGGCGGGGCGGTGACGTACATGCCCAGAGGGCAGGGCATGAACGAGCGTGAATCCCCGATGGAGTCAGAGGAGAGCGGAGAGAGAGTGAGAGGCAGAAGGGGGAGAAGAGAAAGAGAGAGACAGAGAGAGAGGCAGAAGGCGTAGGAGAGCTGAGAGAGAAGGGGGGCATGATCACAGTGCGTGAGAGAGAGAGAGACCAGAGGCTCAGGAGAGAAGACCAACGTGGAGGAGAGACCTGAAAATCCCGTCTTATGATGGGCTAATTGTCTAGTTTACAAATGTTTATCCTGATTTAATTTTCATTTCAAAACAATGCATTGTTGGGATTTTTCTTTGGCATATTATAAAACACAGCGAAGGTTCCTGAGCCTAACAGCGGGAATTGAACACAAATGTATCCTCCTCAAGATCCACAAGATGATCCCCTGCAAGTTCAATTATGTAAAGTATAGATAGTGCATGACACAGAAAGCAGCATGCTCAGGAAGATACACCATTGTACAGATGCACAGATTATTAGAGGAAAGTGCACAGTAACACAGTAAGGCTTGGGAGAACAAAGGAAAACAGGAGCAAAGGAAACATATGACTCAGCGTAGTTCTGAAGACACAGTCAGAATTTTATCTCTGGCAGCTGGCTGACAAAACGCTGCTTTAAGGGACTGATAGCAGACTTACTCCTAGAAATGCTATTTGTACAAGTGCAATTACTGTTTTTTCTTTAGCCCTGGTCTCTCACCTGTCAAATAGTGAAAGGTTAGGCTAGATAAGGATACTTGTGTAGCCAGATGTATATATTTTGCTATATTTGAATGCAAGTGTATGCATTTAGAGAGAATATTCATTCAGCCATATCTTCTTTAGATATCGACCAATTAGGAAATAGGGTCAGTTTTATTCTTTTTTAAAGGCCCCTCATATTGTGAGGCCCTAAGCTGTAGCTGAGTTAGCTTAGGCCTTAATATGGCGCTGGAGCCTGTGACATAGTGGGAAAGTTAGCTAGGAAATTCCCAGGTCTCAGGGACAATGTTAGTGCTATGGGGGTTAGAAGTGAGGTCAGTGTTCAGACACAGTTTTGACCTGTGTTCTCAGCCGCCTTATGCCCTGTGCTCCCTGTGTGTCCCTCCAAGAGTTGGGCCAGGGCTGCAGAGTAGAGGCCCTGAACAGTCTCAGAACCTCTTGTTCTAATGTTTGGCTAAGAACAAAAGGGTTTTTGACATCATCTGTTATCTGACAGGTCTTATATCTGGATACTCCAGGCATGGAAACAGGGACACATGTAGGCTGTGTCTACACTGGCAAGTTATTCCAGAAAATCAGCCACTTTTCCGGAAAAATTTGCCAGCTGTCTACACTGGCCGCTTGAATTTCCGGAAAAGCACTGACTATCTAATGTAAAATCATCACTGCTTTTCCGGAAAAACTATGCTGCTCCCGTTCGGGCAAAAGTCCTTTTTCCGGAAAACTGTTTCGGAAAAGGAGCACAGTAGTGTTTTCCGCGAAAATGGCGATTGGGGCTTTTTTGCGCAAAACCATGTCTAGATTGGCCACGGACGCTTTTCTGCAAAAAGTGCTTTTCCAGAAAAGTGTCCTGCCAATTTAGATGTGCTTTTATGAAAATGCTTTTAACGGAAAACTTTTCCGTTAAAAGCATTTCCGGAAAATCATGCCAGTCTAGACGTAGCCTAAGTGATCTAATAGGTCTTTCATCTATTGTGCAGGATATTCAGGGTATTGTCCAGCTGGCAGGGTATCAGCGTCTCTTTTAGGGGAGACATGTCTCTATCCAAGGAGAATATGGGTGTCTGCTCCCACTTTGACCCAGGTAGTGGAGGGGCTGTAACACAGGGATGTATAATGCAGAAAAAGCTGCAACTGCTAGAGAAACAGACCATAAGAACTGCTAACACCTCTCTCAGAGCAAGTAAATGAGGAGTGGGTGGAGTAGCACTTCTGCTGATAGCAAGGCATGGATCTATTTTCTAAAGGAGCTATTATCTCATCTGTTGCAGGCAGGAACCAAGCTGTGCAGCCAGTGCAGAGGTGAGGCTGGCGGGGATGAAGGCAAGAGAGGTTTTGTCTCAGTTCCTCATCTGACTGAATCACTGTGGAACACACTACCACTGCTACCTGTATACACAACACAGTAATAGTCAGCCTCGTCCTCTGCCTGCACACCGGTGATGGTCAGGGCAGCGTCGTTACTTGAAATGGCCCCAGAGAACCGGGCAGGGATCCCGGAGGGTCTGCTATTGGTGTTATATATAAGTGTCCGAGGAGCTGATCCAGGTTTCTGCTGTACCCAGGTAGGATAGTTGCTGCTGGTGATGGCTCCAGTGCTCAGGCTGCAGGACAGCGTGACGGCCCCTCCTGGGGTCACCGACATGGAGGGCTCCTGAGTCACCACAGGCTGTGACCTGACCCCTGAAAGCAACGGAACAAACAAACTCAGCACAAGGACTCCGGCTCCTCACACACAAACCTCCTCACCTGCAGGTGGCCTCCATGTTGTGTCAGTGCAGCCAACAACCCCTCACCTGAGCAGTAAGTGAGCAGGGCGAGGAGCAGGGGGGCCCAGGCCATGGTGGATCCTGATGAGTTCATGGGTCTGTGGCTGAAGCATTATGAATTTGCCTTAAATCCCTGAGCTGGAGAACAGCCCCCTTATGCAAATTCATTCCCTGCTCATTGGCTGCAGGTTTGTTAAAAATCTTAATCCTGCGTTTTCACAAGTATAGAGATGCTCTTGTCTCAAATTTAACCTTATATGAAGGATTTATTTTAAATAAAGTTTTTCTTTAAAACTAACTCCTCCTAAATTTGTACATTTTCAAATTTTATTTCAAGTTCACTTGAAACAGTTTTTTTGCTAGTATTAATTTAACACGAGCAGCCCTACTATAACATGAATAATATCTTACATAACCAAAAGGGGGGTATCACACAAACTAACACGTTCCTTTTGACTGCCTGTGTCGGGATCTAGATCCAGAAGAAATGTTCATTTCTAGTTATGGGGAAGCCCATTTTCACAAGCTGTATATGATGCAGAATAAATCGGGTCACTTGTTAGCCTCCTTGAACAAGCAAGTCTTTAGTTATAACTGCTGCCCACAGGCTCTCTGCATGGAGCAAATATTACACTCAGTAATCACTGTCATCTCGGTTACCTCCAGGCCCTGAAGAATAGAGAGCTAAAGCAGGAGCTGCTATATCTTGAGCTGAAAAACTAAGAGGTTGATCTTTAAAGGTGCTGAGCTACAAGCTATGAGGCGAGAGGTGGGGGGACCTTAGGCAGAAGTGGTGGGGCTTTGGGCATTCTGTCCTTAGAGCCACCTGTACTGTCCTGAGCCCTCTCTCCCCCTTAGCCTTCAGAAATGTGTGGAGCAGCAGAGTAACACTCCAGCAGCAATTCAAAGGGGCCTGGAGTTCCTGGGGTTCCTTTGAATCTCCCAACCCCAGGACAACTGCTGTCAGCCCCCATCCCTGTTGGTAGTCCTGGGAGTGGTCTGCACTGAATGGTGGGTAACAGCTTCTTGTTACTTGCTTTTCAAGCTGCTCCCCTGTCTCCCTTGGCCTCGCAGTGAGATCTTGTCTATACTTACCTGGAGAATGACCCAGAGATCGATCTTCCGGGGTTCTTTCTGGCAGGTCTAGTAAAGATCTTCTAAATCGACTGCTGATGGCACCTCTGTCAACCCTCGTACTCCAAGGGGTTGCAAGGAGTCAGGGAAGCCAATGAGAGAGTTTCTCCTGTCAGCCTACCTCAGTTGGGATGCCTCAGAAATTCAACTTAGGACACATCAACTCCAGCACTGCTGTTCACGTAGCTGGAGTTTTGTATCTTAAGTCAACTTTCTCCCTAAGTGTAGACCAGGTCAGAGGGTGGGGGGGAGGAAATGAGATCATTCCCTTCCCAGAAACTCTCCCTGATCCAAACCCAGCAGGCAGGTGGAAGGGGATGTCAGTTACATGTAGGTGCAGCTAGCAGTGCTCTTCTCTGAATTTGGCCTTTGGTCTGTGAAAGGCCATTTGGGTGCAGCTGAGAGGAATCATCAGCGTAACATTTGCCCCACCCAACAGACCCCGCAGAAAACAATGGAGGAGCTTTGCATTGCTGTGCACACAGGCATGTGATAACATACGCACATGCAGCGGCATCACTGCCACCACCACTGCAGTGCAGCAGGGCCAGCTCCGTCCATGCGGCCCTCACACTTGGATGCTCCCCCTGTAAACGCCAGCAGAGCTAACTTATTCCCCTCTTCTAGCTCTCCTGGCCGTGAGGCCTGCAAACTGACAGCAGTAAGGCCATGAGTGAGCTGAAACCCTTTCCACTCTGCTGCCATTGTTTTCTCATTGCTTCCTTCTGCTCATCCACAAGCCAGTCTGCCAACGCCTGTCATCTCTGATCTTATGCTGAGACTGTTAGAGCCTTAGCAGGGACCGTCTCTGTGTTCTGTGTTTGTACAGAGCCCAGTACAAGGGGGGCCTGGACTGTGACCTGGACTCTGAGGGGCTGCGGTAACATGGATATGTAATAATCACAGTGTTACAGCCTGCGGTGAAGCACGTCCCAGGGCCGCCACGTGCAGACATGTTCAGCATGAAATGGAATGTCAGTTGCGTTACATGTAGTGGAAAAAATATCCAGAATGCAATCTCTTCTGAAGTGCTCCTAAAGATTCACTGGGCCAAACCTAGCAGGTGGGTGGAAGGGGTGTCAGGAACGGAGAGGTACAGCTAGTGGTGCTCAGCTCTGAATTTAGCCTTTTTTCTGTGTGGGGCTGTCAGTGGGCTGGACGCAGATTTGGGCAGCAAGTCTGACTATGTGGAGCACAATAGAAGAGCTTTGGTGTGCAGACAGATATGTTAAAACACATGCACTTGAAGAGCAGTCACTGCCTGTTGTTTCTAGTTTTACACCGAGCTTGTTAGCACCTTACCAAGACAAGGGACAATGACATGGTCTATCAAAGACTACAGAAACACAGATATGTAATAAACACAGTTATGCAGCCTGAAATGAAGGACTTCCCTGTTCCACATTGAAATTCTCTTCAGAAGTGCTCCAGTTCTTGGTGTGTGTGTGTGTGTGTGTTTGCATGTGAAAGAAAAGGGAGGGGGCGCAGGACGACTGGATACGCTGTGAAGAGAGGACAGGAAAATTGAAGGACCTGCCTCCCTTCCCCTTCCTTTCTGCTCAGCAGGCACCTGGAATACACAGGCTTCAGGATGCACCCATAAGGTAGAGGCTTGAGCACCATCCACCTCTTACAACCACAGTTTCGTGTCTGCCAGCCCGGCCGCATTATTCTCCTGCTGGCACCTTGAGCTGCTGCCTCAGTTCCCAGCTACTCCCACCCAGACCTGCCCCATGAGGGTTAGTGCTGGGTCTGGAGACCACGGCCGCAGCATGCAAGAGAGCCATCCAGGTGTGTTGACAGACACCCAGCTGGAGTCAGGAGTCCTAGCCTGTGCATTTGGGGGCTCTGGCCCTGATTGGAGTGGGCCCAGATGCTAAGTGATGCTAAGACCACTTTTTCCCACGCAAAACTATGCCCCTTGTGTGAGCCCAGGCTGGGGGGGATGAAGACAGGAGAAGTTTTTATCTCAGTTCCCCATTTGGCTGTATCACTGTGATTAGCACTGCTAGCCCATACAGAACAGTAATAGTCAGCCTCATCCTCTGCCTGCACACCGGTGATGGTCAGGGCAGCGTTGTTACCGGATATGGCCCCAGAGAACCGGTCAGGGATCCCGGAGGGTCTGCTATTGGTGCTGTATATAAGTGTCCGAGGAGCTGAACCAGGTTTCTGTTGAAACCAATGTGGATAGTTGCTGCTGGTGATGGCTCCAGTGCTCAGGCTGCAGGACAGCGTGACGGCCCCTCCTGGGGTCACCGACATGGAGGGCTCCTGAGTCACCACAGGCTGTGACCTGACCCCTGAAAGCAACGGAACAAACAAACTCAGCACAAGGACTCCGGCTCCTCACACACAAACCTCCTCACCTGCAGGTGGCCTCCATGTTGTGTCAGTGCAGCCAACAACCCCGCACCTGAGCAGTAAGTGAGCAGGGCGAGGAGCAGGGGGGCCCGGGCCATGATGGGAAGTCAGACGAGCTCGGCTTCCTGAGGCAAGTGGGTCTGTGCTGGGACCCTCCAATTCTCTCTTAAACCCCCAGCGCTGGGGAATGAATCCAAATGAACTCGACTTCCTGAGGCAAACGTGTCTGTAGCTGGGGACCCTTCAATCCTCTCTTAAACCCCCAGCACTGGAGAACGGCCCCTTCATGCAAATCTGCCCCATTCTCTTTGGCTGTGAGTTATTGAAAATTTCAGTCCTGCGTATTAACAACTGCAAAGATGATCTCACTTCAAATGCAACCTCAAAATGAGGCTTTTTTTTATAAGATTTTTTTTAACAGTAGTCCCCATAAATCTGTGCATTTTCACTTTTTATTTCTAGTTCAATTGAAAAGACTAGCATTAATTTAGCACAACGGATCTAACTGGACTGGAGGGAGGTTTGGGCTGCACATCTGACCATGTGGAGAACAATGGAAGAGCTTTGCTGTGCAGACAGATATGTTATAACACATGAAGAGCAGTCACTGCCTGTTGTTTCTGGTCTTACACTGAGGTTGCTAAAGCCTTACCAGGAACCAGGGACTGTGACTTGGTCTACCACAGGCTACAGTAACACAGATATATAATATTCAGTGATGCAGTCACCTCTGAAGGACTTCCCTGTGCCAGCACTCGCAGAGACGTACTGCATGAAGTGGAATGCCAGTTACATTACATGAAATGGAAAAAACGCTTTTCCAATAATACCCAGCGTGTAATTCTCTTCCAAAGTGCTTCTGAACCTACAGCGTCAACCAGTTCCTTGGGTACCTCAGACCTCCTGTCTCTTTCTTCCCACCACTGGGTCTGGATGAGGGATCTGAAAGGACGCAGCTCATCAAACCCCATGTCTGTGCACCAGGCTTTTCTGCACAAATTTGTATTGAACAGCTGACTTACTGCAGTAGAATCAATTCACTCTGAAACTGAAGGGAGACAGCGCCTCGTGCTGGCCAGTTAGAACTGAACCACATGTCACCTCTGTGCGGAAACATAGATGGGAAAATCCAGCTGCATTTCAACTCACATTTTATTCTCCCCTCTCTGGAGGGGAAGGAGAATTCCCTATAGTTCCTAGCTGCGTGCAGCTTTGCTTTCGCTTTTTGTATGTGGCTGCTGTCAGTCTCCTGTTCTGTGCTAATATTTTACACCCAGGTATATTAAGGGCCCAGGCACTTTCTGTAATTCTCCAGTCAGATACAGGGCAGAGTCTGGGGTGGAATGAAGGTTCTTTCTATGCAGGTATCTTGGAGAGGCTTTTATCTGCATTAACACCATCATTTACAGGCTCTTAATTTCTAAATGTGGCCTGGGTCTTGTTACTTCAAAAGAAATTGATCCATGGTTTCTTCATGTGTGACAAGCTCTTGTCAGCCCCCGGCCTCATGCGCTGCCCTCACTCCGCCCTTGATATATAGCAGAATCTTCCCCCCATGATACCTAAACCATCTGAATTCCACCCAGTATGATTCATACCCCACTCTAGATGGCTCCCTGTTCGCTGAGGAATAAAGTTAACCCCCTGGCTGTGTCTAGACTGCATCCCTTTTCCATAAAAGGGATGCAAATTAGACACATCGCAATTGCAAATGAAGCGGGGATTTAAACCCCCTCGCCTCATTTGCATAAACGTGGCTCCCGCTATTTTCCGGCTCGGAGCTTTGCCGGAAAAAAACGCCAGTCTAGACGGGGATCTTTTGGAAAATAAAGCCTTTTCTGAAAGATCCCTTATTCCTCTTAAAATAAGGAATGTCTAGGGGGTTCCCTTTAACAAGTGATAAAGATGTAGCCGTTTTAGTCTGGTGTAGCTGAAACAAAAAACAGGACTATGTAGCACTTTAAAGACTAACAAGATGGTTTATTAGATGATGAGCTTTCGTGGGCCAGACCCACTTCCTCAGATCAAATAATGGAAGAAAACAGTCACAACCATATATACCAAAGGATACAATTAAAAAAAATGAACACACATGAAAAGGACAAATCACATTACGGAACAGAAGGAGGATGTAGGGTGGGGGGGAGGAAGGTGAATGCCAGTGAGTTAATGATATTAGAGGTGGGGAAGGGGAAATGTCTGTGAGTTAATAGTATTAGAGGTGATAATTGGGGAAGCTATCTTTGTAATGGGTAAGATAGTTGGAGTCTTTGTTAATTCCCCTGCGGAGAGTGTTGAATTTTAGCATGAATGCCAGTTCAGAGGATTCCCTTTCAAGTGGAGATTTGAATGTCTTCTGAAGTAGGATGCAGGTTAGCAGGTCATTGAGACAGTGTCCTTTCTGGTTGAAATGACAAGCAACTGTTTTTTCTTTGTGATCCTGTCTAATGTCTGTTTTGTGGCCATTGATTCTTTGGCGAAGTGTCTAATCTATGCTATCATGTGCCGAAAGTGTCCGTCTGCTATGTACATTGGACAAACGTCTCAGACACAGCTTCAGCAGGTCAAGCCTCAGAGGAGTCTCAAATCATGATCAGTGAACCCCAACTCCTCTACTCAGTATTGCCTGTCCAGTAAGCCTGACTTGAGCCACAACAGACTGGTAACTAGATACATCATCTGCAGGACATGTGAGTGTGTGTATATATGTGTGTGCATACGCTGCTTTTCCTTTATCTTGTGCTTTCAGTAAGTGTGGCATATTGCCTTTTCCCCTGAAAAAAGATCCCGTCTGCTTCTTATAAGCATAACACATCAGCTGGCCGAAGCTCACACTGCGTTGAGCCACCTAGAACATCTCCAAAGGCAGTGCAGAGAGCTGAGGCTGTGGGGAAGGTCGGGCAGAAGGGGAGGGGTCAGACAGAATGGTTCTATGGCCCAGATGTGGCCCACTGGGTCATGAGCTATTGCTACAGGCCAGTGTCTTTCTGGACTGCAGAGTTCAGGAGAAGCAGGGATCAGGAAGGCGCTAATGAATTTCTAGATGGCACCATGGAAGCTGAAAAGCAGATGGGCTGGGCGGAGGTAGACGATTCTAGGAAGGAGGGATTTTGAAAGCATCTTTATCTGACACAACTAGTACCTGAGCACTTCCTCCAGCTATGGACATGGGGAGGAAGTGTTCCCACTAACTTCCCAGATGTGCAGGGCGGTGTCCAGCTGCCGGAGGGAGATGGGGGTGGTAACACAGGAAACTGGCAGCCAGAACAGGGGTCTTTACACAAGAAACACACGGCCAGTGGCCATCAGCTCCCAGACTGAACTAGGCAGAGGTGGTTCTGTAAGACAGGAATCCCTAAGGCAGCCACAGCTGCTCCCTTGCAGACACCTAGCAGACAGCATAAGAGCTGTGCACCCTGTACCCAAAGGGAGTCAATGGAGATTGGCTGGAGCAGAACTCAGTGCTGCTGGCTCAGATTCTTAAGGAGGAGCAACTGGCAGGCAGGAATGGAACTGAGCAGCCTGTGTGAGCCCTTGCACTAGCAGAGACAGGAAAAGAGGGTGGGCTTCAGGTTACAGATGCATTGGCAGGGGAAGGGATGATGGGGCCGAGAGGGCAGGAACAATTGGGGGGTGGGAAAGATCAGATATGCAGGTGGAGTCCAGTGCCCTGTAGTGATGAGGGGGATCCAGTGCTCTGGGGTGGGACAGACGCTGAAGAAAGCGGTGGGGGCACAGGACAGATTGGGTGTCCGG